GAACAGCCGAGCAATGGGACAGAGAGGGCTTGAAATAGAAAACCTGGTGCTCTCATTTTGTAACATATATATGATGTGATATTTTCCTGTAGAGCGTGCGTTAGTATAACTGCAGTGATGTGTTTACAATCTTGGAATAGTATATCAGATCTTTTATTAATGTAATAATAAGAATCCTTGCATTTGATACAGCGCCTCATCAAGTTTTCGAGACATTTCAAAACGCTTCACAGAATATACTGGAAAGTGTACAGACTATCTGTTTTGTAGGCAAATTTGGACATGGAGGGAATATAACTAGGAAGAGAAATTCCTCACTTTGTTTAAGAGAATGGTTTGGGAAAAGGCAACCAATTGCGCACAGCAGTGTCCCACAAACAGTCGTGGATTGAGTGACCAATTTATTGTATATATACAATCTACCGTTTTTATCTTTAGTGTGTCGAGATTAATGAAAGTCATTGTCAAAATGCTGTAAATAAAACAGGAAATATGATCAACCGTATTAGGTGGCAGAGTCCTGTCACCTCAGGGCCACGGTTTCAATGTACTACAGCTGACAGATTAAAGAAGGCCTTCCAAGCTCTAAATGATTGAATGAATGAGTTTTGACAGTCTCAACACAATTTCCAATGGGCGTGAATCCAAGGCTTTAAATGGCTGTAATTTGGCAAAAATGCAACCTCACTCAAAGGCCGCAACATTTTTGCTGTGGGAGATGGAAACCTCACCCTGTTCCATCAGGGGACATTTGTTCCATTAATCTAGGCTGGATTCAAACTGAAGCTTCAGGCATGATTGAACAGTGTGCTAAACAGCAAAGCCCCGCCATCCTCTCCCTCCCCCCAATATTACTGCCTTGAAGTTAATTCTAAATACAGAGAAACTCTCAATAATCCTCATTACGATTATCTGTCTTCCCAGTTTAACAAATATAGAAACTTCTGGGCAGATCACCCTGGGAAGCCAATATTAAATAAAAATCCAATAGAGAGCCTAAAATTGACAAAAAAGAGTTCAGAGTGCCTCATAAGACCTGGTGGCATTGTTACTGTCTTTTCAGTTGCGACTGCAAGAAGACAATTATCTCCCTGATAATTGCAGTGTTGTTCAGGAAACAATCTGGTTTACAGAGAACTGTAGTCGTATGTAAAACACTGGAAATTCTGCAGAATTCAGTTTGTGTTCAAATTAGTGAAACGCTTTTTGCAATTGATGGATTAGCAGAAATAGTCTCGGCATATTCAAAGGCATCGTTTCAAGGGCATCAGGGTTTCAGCGATTCCGGTAACAATGTGAACTATTGAAGTTATAAAACCTGTAGATCAAGTCTTGAAGGATAGAGACTTTCCGGACATTTGTAAATCACCCTCATACTGGCCATCAGGCTTCTTGTTCCAGGAGAATTTATTTCAAAAGCCTCGCAATGTTTGAATTGTTCTATCGCAGATTGTATAGAGATGATTAATGAAACAATGGTTTTAAAATACCTGGAATCATTGAATATTCATAACGGGACCAGGTAATGCAGCTTGCTACCAAGATTACTTAATTAAATAACGGTAACTCATTAAATATAACGGTAGCTGTGGTACACTGGAAATAACTAATATTATTCCAATTTCCGAAAGAAGTCAGAAACGTTCTCCTAGGGATCTGGGACTGTTAATAATTAATATCTTATTAGATGCGGAGGAACATTTGGAGAAAAAGAACATTGTTAAACAACAATGATACAGAGCACATGCGTTATAATGTACTTCCTTAGTTATATTTGGCGGATAGTGTCATGGAATCTTTAAGGCTCACTTGGCAGACATTTAATGTCTCCGACACTATTGCACCAATGCCTCACCCTAGACTCTGAACTCAGACACGGGGCTTCAAAACCAATGCTATCCATTGAGCCAAGCTGGCACTACAGGCTCAGGTTAGTCTATGTAAATCACCTCCCTTAGGGATTTTCTTTGCTACAAACTGCAGCTTGGTCCCAGTAAACAGTACCAGTGAGAAGAGACATTAACTTGACATGAAGCTGTGAACCCAAGGTGGTTACCTCAAGCTAAATTTGCCTGGCTCAATAATTCTCGCGCTGCTGAAGTTTCTTATTATCTACCTCATCGGAATTAAACTGCGTTGATTGCAAAAGAACACGAGTATTGCATTTGGTGGAGTGCAATGTGTGTCTACCGCACTTTAGACGTCAATTGTAAGCACCCACTGGGTTGAAGTCAATTACCAAATTTTGCTTTAAATTGATACGGAGCAAATGTGCAGGTGAAATGGACAACAGCTTTGACAATAATCTGCTTTGTAAAGCGTGAATGGATCAATCTATTCCACCGTCCACAGCAGAGGTTCATGATCAGTTAGTCTATAACAGGTTACTTATACCAGCGAGCTTTTCTGTAATCAGACCCTTTGTTGCTAAATTCAAGAACAAGGGGTCATCGCTTCAAAACGAGGACCAAAAAAAGAGAACAGGAAAGGCAGGAGAATTTGTTGTAATGAAAGAGTGAGCAGCATCTTTTTTTGTTTAGCTGACCAATAGCACAGGTGGTGGTACAAGAAATAAGAAAAGGTTTCGAAAAGGTCCAAATGATTCCTGTCAATTAAGAGGAACTAGAGTTACTCCACTTAGAGATAGATACATCAAATCTTGTGGTAACCAATAATCTATCAACCGATAATCTGATTTTCTAGCAATGAGGATTCTTGTGGGTTTTCATTGAATTCTGTAACTTTGATCATTCTCCATTAACAAAACCAGGAGGAATTTGGAAGGAAATAAAAAGATTGCTGCCACTGGGGAAAGGGAAGAAATGAGAGTTGGCCGGTGGGGTAGGTCTTCGTGAGGTAGTTGATGAGGTTCAGTGTTTAGGTAAAGATAACAGACACAAATTGTGTGACATTTTCATGACCTTATTTATTCGCAGGACAAAGGCAGTTGAGTAGGATGTGAGAACCCATTGATTGTAGTGGAGCTACAACAGAACAAGAGAAAATATTTCAAAACTGCAGGGATCTAAATTGATCCAGGCTATTTTTATCCGCCAGGTCTCTATGCTAATTATTTGTTTCCATCTCCAGTGTTAAGTGCCTGCAGTCTCTCGAGGCCTCGATGCAATAAATGGAAGCTTTTCATCTTGCACTTGCCGGGCAAGAACGGCATTCTCTTTGTTTTGGTGATGCTGTGACTTTATGTGCGTCAGGGAGACTCGTGTTCCATTTGTCTCATGCAGTAAATGAGCTGAAAATCAATCTCTGCAAGTATTTGCTCAACAGGAGCTTGTTTTGTTTTTTTTTTGCATTGATGTATTGAACAAAATTCAGATTAAACACTTTTTTTGTTTTTTTGGTCAGCTGGGGTCGGTCTGACACGTGCAGAACTCTTCACGTGCTTAAGAGTATCCAAACCAAGCTGAGAATTCCTTGCATCCCACCTATACATGGAGATTCCAGAGATAGATTGTTGGAATGGAATACGCACTCTCTCCCTGGACGGATCACCCCGTTGTTTACCTAATTTCCGGGAGTATTAGGTGCAGGTTGGCAAGAGCCAAGACTTGGAAGATCCAGAATATGCATTGGGGTATTCCTGAAGTCTAACCAGCTAAAACTCCATTGAAAGAACAAAATTCTGCTTAGGAGTTATGATGGCTGTGGATCAGACATTGTTCATTAGAAATAAAAAGGCCAAATACATAAACGGACAAGATGTTCCAAAGCTCATCAATAATTGAGAGGACAACACTTAGGATTTCTGTAACACATGCCGTGAGTGGCACTGGTGATGTTACATGATGTGTCTGATGTTTAAACTTGAGCATTCTTCACTTTCACATAATAGTGGTTACATTGTGCATCGTAACAAGGGGCCTTTCTTATACATGTATCATACATGTTCACCTACATAAAATACAGTCACTACACTTTACAGTAAATCCTGTGAAGCGCTTTACCCATACCATACCCATTTGGAATTTATTTGATAACCACAAATACAGACGGGTCGAAAACTCGACTCAAACTCTCAAGAATCCAATCAGATGTTGAAATACAATCCAACCAGACAGAGATCAAATGAAATCCTTCGGGCATCTGTACTATTTGTTGGAATTAATTGGCACCGTTCTGCATCAAAGGATGTTGATGTTGGTGAGGTCATGTTAAAATGTAAATGTCTATTTAAAATCTGGAGAGGAGAAAGAGCCAGCAAAGAATAGGAGAAGCTCTACTCAAATTCACAAGGAACTTAATTACATTAACTGACGTTCAGTTGATGCCTTTCACGTGAAGGAAACTGCACAAAGCACATTCCCAAATGGGATTAATTAGAAATGAATGTTGTTACGTAGGTAAACGCAGCAACTAATCTGTGCCAGGAACATCCTACAGATAATGAGATGAGCAGTCAATTAACTTGAATCCTGAGGTGAATTTAATAATAATAATCCTTGCATTTGATATAGTGCCTTATCACATCTATGAGACATCTCAAAGCACTTCACAGAATATACTGGAAAGTGAATTGACTGTATCTCTGACTGTCCAGCACTTTGGGATGTCCTCCGGATGTGAAAAGCGCGATACAAATGTAATTTTGTATTGTATTTTGTATTGTATTGACTATATGTATTTGGATGTGGAGGGAATATAACTAGGAGGAGTTTTGTTTAAGTATTGTTTTTTTGTTTAAGTAAACGATTTTGTTTAAGTAAACAATTTGGGAAACAGTCCTTGGATGTCTAACTGAATCACAAGGCAGACAGGACCTAAATTAATGACTCAATCGTAAAAAAGATGATCTGGAAGTAACGGACAAACTTGCATTGCAACAGGTATCATAGGCAAATACTAATTGGCTGATCTCAACATTGACTTGAGTTCGATTCGACACCTGCTGTTTTGTAAATATCTTTCAGGGGAAAAAGAGATATGGTGAATCTTGTATGGAAATTGTCTGAAGAGTTTATTTCTTTGTCTCTTTGCCTCTGTAGGTTTCTACATGTACATCGAGACTTCCCGCCCACGAGAGAAAGGCGAAAAGGCTCGGCTCTTAAGCCCTGTATTCAGTACACTGCCTAAAAATCCATATGGATCCACTAACAGTGCGTACTGTGTCAACTTCTACTACAACATGTATGGGAAGCACATAGGTAAGTTGTGCCTGTGTGTGTGTGTGTGTACATATGATATAACACCAGCCTATTTATCTGTTTTGGAGCTCGATAACTTCCTTTCTTACGTTCCACTTCCACTCTGGCTGTTCGATGGGTCTCACCTGCTCTGATCCACATTGGTGGGCAGAAACTCTCTCCCAAAATCCATCTTCTCTTTGCGTTGAAGTCCTACCCCTTTTTCCTATGCTCTCAGCCACCTCCCTCCTCCTTCCTTACTCCCAACATTCTCCAAACATGAAAGGCCCTGAATGCTAAATGATTGTTTAAGTGTAAATGGTTGTTGTTGTTGTTATTGTTGTATCCAAACTTTAAAGTTCCACTCCTTCAAAATCTCTCAAGATGAAACTGAAATAATTTAAACAAGAATAACACAACCAGGAGAGGAAAATTGAACCAAATGCCACTTAAACCTGAGGGCAAGGAAAGCAATGGCTAGTAGTGGCCTGGACTTTCATACTGTTGACATCAAGTCAATAACTGGAAGATTTTAATTATATTCTTATAATACAACTTCATCATGAAAACCTTACCACATCAGGATAGAGTCCTGTGGGATTGCTTTGTGATTATAGATGTAAAACAGAGAGCGCACTAATAACAACTCCCTTCGTGATTTCAAAGTATTATTAGTTACAATTATTTTATGGGCAGACAAGTGCGAATTAGAAAATATTTCACAGGGCTGGAAACCCAGTCAGTTTGTGGGGCATTTTGTTTTGACACTTGCGCCTTCAACCTTTCAGACAGTGAGTGTAACATAGAAACTGAAATGTAATTAAAATGTAGATACGGGTCACTGTCTGCTCGTAAGGCATCTGTTTTGTGTCTGTATCAAACCCACAGGAAACTATCAAAAGAGGAAGTCTCTTTGTATTAGGCATGTGGTCACATCCCGAGTACCACTGACTGACAGTTTAATGAAATGGAAGAGGCAGCAAGTTCAGATGCAGCAAAAACAAACAGGTTCATTCAGAACTACTTTATGCTTAACATTAATTCTAAGACTTGAACTCAAGGAAGAGGCCCCGGCGTTTTTCTGCCTGCAAGCCTGGTCTGAAATGCTTTGCAGATGAATTGAAATGTGTGAGACACTTCACTGTACGCACCTATGAACAATTTCCCATCGAGCGCATTCCTCTGCTTCACGTTGGCTGAAAAATGGAAGGCTAGTGATTCGATTTTTACTTTTAATTAATTATTAATTTGACCAAAACAAGAATGCCATTCTAACACGCTCAGTTAGGACAATTAGGCTCCAGCATTTTGTCTTGTTGCATGTAAAGAACATTTGGTGACAGAAAGGAAGAGAAGTAAAGCATTTGCCCTTCAAACCTTCTCATTATTTTTCTCCTCCTAAAGTAACGCAAGTGGCCGTTACTCATGTTCAAGCAGGGATATCTAGACAGCAGTCAAAAACAAAACAGCACTGGTTGATTTTCCTACTCCCTGACCCAGAGAGGTCTTAAGACCGTTTGTAGCACCTCCCCAGGGAGTGTGATATGCTGTTGTAGGATGCAGGAACCCAGGGAAACTCACTTAGTGAAGGAAAGCAAGCTTCCCGTGGCTGGAAGTCAAACTTGGGCTCTTTGGTTGTGAGTTTGCTATCAAAGCCACTGGATCACATCCTGCTGTCAGAAAAAGGAGCTTGAACAGCGTTGTGGAGTTCAGCAACTTCACAGCAAGTTTCATTCACATGGCATCTGTAAGCCAAGTAATAGAGTGGCATTAGACACACTGTTAGAATCTAGTATCGTTCTTCACACCCTCAAAGTATTTGAAGTCTACAGCACTTGCTGATGGTGAGTTGAATAAACTAAGGTTTATTTTTTTCTTTGAGATGTACACTGAGAGAAATTTTCATTGCCAAACACTTTCATTGTAAATCCATCTTCAAATCTGAACCATACCAGAGCCTGGGGCGGGGGTCGGTGGGGGGTGGGTGGGAAGGGTAGTGGGAGGGCGTTGCTCACTCACAGTCAACCGTCCCCAAAAAAGTGGTAACTTCAAGTGAAATCCGCAGTCATGACATCTACAGAGTGTGACAGAAACATCCACGTTCTCTGATCTTTTTGGAGACAGACTGCGAGGCACTTGGCTCTCATCAAATGTAATTTAGCAAAGTGCTCTGTGTTCGGAAAGCAATAAAAAGTTGGACTCTGAAGCAGTAATGAGAACTTCGATAATTGGCGCAGTACCCCAGATGAATTATGAGCATATTCACAGCCAGGAAATTACTCAGCCTGTCTGCTCATCTCTTATGTCATTATCTGCAGTATCAGCCACTTTTATATGGCCCCCCCAGTAGTTGTGCATTTGTAATATGTAGAGATATATTGATGCAATTTCATAGACACAGTGTGTTGGACTAGTAAGAGCATTCATACATGCCGCTATCTATTTTGATCCCATTAAGAAGTGTTTATCATGAGCAATCCTAAGGCTTTTGTTTATTTCATAAATTATGCTGACTGCATATTGCCTTCTAGCACCAAAGTCTCTCAAATTTCTAGTGCAGCTGAGGATTAATGTGAGGTTGTAGAGCCAGAAATATCAGAGCAATCAGAAGAGGGATCTATTTGATTGTTTGAAACCGTTTCATTGGCCATTTTCCTGCCCTTCTTTGAAGTGTCAGGAGTAAGTGTGAACAGGTCAGACACAGAAAGAGGTTTTACACTTAGGAACAAGTCAGCACAAAGTCAGCCGTGTTATTCAAGAGACTGAGTTTCTGGTGATATAGTGTGGAAACATTAATCTTATTGCTGCTGGGAACTTTATTCTAACTTTTACTAATTCAGTGACTGAAAACCTTCCAGTAGGAAAAATGTGATAAAGATGAAATAATTACAGAATGACAGTGCAGCAATTGTCTTTGAACATGCTAGGGCGGAAGCTGAAAGGAATTGAGGGGTTGTTCATTATGTCAAAGTAGTGTGAGGCAGCGATAAATAGTAGCAGTTCTTATAGTAGCTCTGTTTGGAGAGAGGAGGGCGGTTACATACGATGAGAGAGGTTTTGGGATGTATAATCAGTTGACTTTACATAAAATTACATAGAATTATAATAATAATAATAATAATCCTTGCATTTGATATAGCGCTTTTCACGTCGGGAGGACGTCCCAAAGCGCTTCACAGAACACACTGTAAAGTGAATTGACTGTATATTTGTGGGCGAACGCGGCAGCCAATTGCGCACAGCAATGTCCCACAAACAGTCGTAGATTGAAAATGACCAATTTATTATTTTTTTTTGGTTTTTTGGAGGGATTATTATTAGGCTCTGTGTGGAGTAAGGAAACTTGCCCAAGGTTTAGCCCTCTGCCTGGAATTGAACTCAGGTCTCTCACTTGCAAAGCGAGTGCTCTAACCACTGAGCTACAGGACTCCAATTAGTCAAAGCATGCCATTCGACCCAAACCTGTGCCAGTGTTTATACTCCACATGAACCTCCATCCATCCTAATTCGCATTCCCTTTCACCCTCCCATTCCCTTCTATTCCCTTCTCCCTCATGTAAGCAGGGAAGAGTTTCCTCTTAAATGCATTAGTGCTTTGTTTCAACCACTGCTTCTGGCAGTGAGTTCCACATTCTCACACCAATCTGCGTCGAGATACGTTTCCTAAGCTTCCTTTCTGATGGATGTGAATCAGCATTGTCTTTTCCAAGCGAGTTCGGTTAAAGCTGACATTCTAAACTCTCCGATAACCAGGCACATCGCAGCTGCTGTTCTGATAGCAAACCAGCAGAAAAGGAAATCCTTTGGGCAACGTGGAAATTGCTGATTGTACAAGTGGTGTTATTGATTTACATGATGTGGGACTTCAACACCTTTAATGTGTCACTAATCTCAAACTGCTGTGTCTTAGGAAGAGATTTAAATGTCCCTTTGTGATTTACAGACTAATTATCATCAGCAATATGAATTATTAATTCCAAGCATAAGTAAGCAATAAATCCTTCACCTTTTGTGCTAAATTTAATATAATGTGTTCCGAAGAATTTTAGCTTGTGTTACAAAATAAAATTACCTGAGGATTATCGGAACTTCAGGAAATGATTGGGAAAGTTTGATTACCTACAAAATACGGCAGGATACAGTCACAGTTGAAATTCTCATAAGGCAAAGCCTTTTGTAAATCATTTCTCCAGAGTTCATTTGAAGCTCAGCGTGAGTTTTGTCAACCAAAATAATAGGAATAATTCTTGCATTTTGAGATGGCGTCTTTCATGTCAGGAGGATGTCCCAAAGTGCTTCACGGGATAAACTGTGAAGTGTCGTACCTGTATTTTGTAGGCGAATGCAGCAGCCATTTGACAGAAACTGCCGTGAAGTGAATGATCAATTTTATATGGGGGATTATTGGCCAGGATACCCGGAGAAACTCCCTTCCCTTTTCCAATCGGGTTAACTGTAACATCCACCTGAACAGGTAGATGGGACTTTAATGTCTCACTTTAATGTCTCATCTGAAGGACAGCACCACCTTTTTTTTAAAAAAAGAAAAGCTTCAAAGTTAAGACTGAATTCAACAATTTGTCAAATTGAAATGCTAAGAAAATAAAGTAAATCTACACCCAGGTGCAAATTCTCTCCCTCCCTCCAGCAGACTCAATGTTTTATTCTGAAGACTTCTTTAACCACAAGCGCATTATTAGAGGATTCGCAGTGAAGTAATACAATATTGCGACAGACCTGAAAACCACCGTCCAATTCCAACTCAAGCAATCAGAATATCTGCGATGCGCCTATTGTAAAGTTTGACCTTTTGTCACAATTTCCTTTTTTTGAACAAAGCTGGTTCACCTCCTAGGGGAGAGAATGGTTCAACCAGAATTCAGATGCACCTCCGTTCTGTGCTATTAGTGATTAGGCTGCGGACATCAGTAGCAATTGAATGCTTAGTTCTCCTCCTGGACAAGCTGATTGTTGTATTTTTCTGCCTGACAAAACTGCCTGATCCTGGCTGAATGGGAGCTGTTATCCCAATCCTTCTGGACCTCAGTGTACAATACACTTGCTGGAGGCAATCTGTTGAGGGTCTTTATAACTACACAGAGGTCCCTAGTTTAAGGGCAATCATTGAAAAAGACACGCCATGTCTTGACTGATTTGAAACCTCGCTTTCGCTTTCGGGGTCTTTATAACAAAGAGAAACAACACAGTGTTCTGTATTTAAGCTGCTCAACTGGAGATCAAGAACTATTACTGTACAGATGATGGTGAATGTTTGCCACCAGGAAAACAAATCCTGACAGCGATGAAAAATAATACCAAAATTGACACTCTGTAACGGGAAACTTCAATTGAAGATTCATGCTGTGCCTATACCTATGGTCTATAAATGAGAGGAGTAGATTGTTGAGTCCGCAGTTGTGAATAAGAACCTGTAAAAGCGCGATTCTGTGTTGTCAACTCCAGATCTTTGTTTCGTTGTTGTCCTTTCCTGTGTGAAAAGCACGGCCACACTTGAATCAAGCAGAATTTGAGATGGTCTCCAGTTCATTTCTCAGGGTTTAATGGCAGGGTTTGAAAAGCGAATGAGGTTTGTCCTGGCATCTTGGCCAACTATCATCCAGATCAAATTGCCATTCACTTTGTGGTTGCTCGTGAGGAGATTGCTGCCTCATCTGCCTACAATACACAACTTTACAGTGAATCATGTGAAGGACTTTGAGACATCCTCCCAATTTGAAAGACCCTATTTTAAATGTGAGGAGGATTATTATTATTTTTGGCATCGGTATTTGAGGGCTTGAGTGGGGGCAGAAGAGGTGTTGAATCTTTCATTGGGCTTTGCGCAAAGGAAGTAACCACAAATTTGAATCAATAATAAAATATTGTTAGGTAAATCCAGAAATACAGCAAGTAAATCAAGTGCACAGTACCCTGAACCCGTGGCTGAAGGCGAACTGGTGTTTGGTATAACTGCACTGCATAATCTGCCACCAGAATAGTAAACAGCTAAGTATCCCTTACTCCTGTTATATTTGCAGGCATTGAACAAAGTTTTAAAGGATTAATACAACAACAACTTGCATTTATATAGTGCCCTTCACATTTCAACGGCGTCTCGGAGCGCTTAATGTGTATCCATCTCTACCCACCCCCTCCCGCAACACCACACACACAAACACCAATTTGTATTACAAACTGCATTACATTTCCCCCCCAATAAGAATCTTATTCCATGTTTTTTTCAGGCACTTTGAATCTGTTTCTACGACTAAAGGGACAAACCGTGACTGAGAGCCTCATCTGGAGCATGTCGGGCAATCGAGGGGAACGGTGGATGCAAGCAAATATCAATATCAATCCCAGTGGGACCTTCCAGGTGGGAAAATAAAGCTAGCAGGAATACATGGGACAACATGACTGATAGATCAGAAATAACGGTACATTTGTTCTATAAAAAGGTGGTTTTGTTCACTAACGCATTATTTAATTCACGTTTTATTGCATGCAACTGCATATATGGGAGTGATGATGATGATAATAATAATCCTGACATTTGATATAGCACCCATAATATCGAGCGTCTCAAAATGCTTCACTAAGTTTTCTGTGAAGTGTAGTGACTATGTGTTTGTAGAGGACAGTGATACCTGTGGTTTCAAAAAGCAATGCATGGTTCAGGTTCTTGGGGTACCACTGAGCTCTGTGTTATGGCCACCTCAAACTTCACCATCCTTAACACTATCACTTTTTCTTTAAAGAACGCTATGGCTTTGTACAAGGAAATAACAACAGCAACAACAACAACTTGTATTTATATAGTACCCTTCATGCGGGGTTGCGTCCCGGAACCCTTCTTTGCATTCTCAAGACAATCTTTCATATCCTAGATTGCCAAGTGATGTGGTGCAGGCTTATTGTCCTCCACGGACAGAGCAACATCTGTTACAACACGATTTATGGTTGCCCTTTAACTTGTCGTAGTTCACAGAGCTCTCGCAAGGTTGAGGTCGCCAATTACAATAAAACCTGCAACGCAATTTTCGGGATTGATACCAGAGCACATTGCTGATGGGAAACGGTAAATAACTCTGGTTATTGAAGAGACCTATCCCAAATAGCTTCTGTGTCTGTTTGGCTGAATCTGAGACTAGCCAGAGGCCCAGTCAAGGGAGAAGACCCCTCGCCTCCCCCCCCCCCCCATATTTACAGTCTATGCACAATACATCAAACAGGAGCTTTATTGACTGCTGTAGTTGTCGTGCCTGAGAAACTTATCTCCAGTAGTTTGCATGAGAAAACCATAGCACACAAGTTTATTCTGTACATAAAGCAAATTCCAGTGGAAAGGTCAATTGAAAGCTCTGTAGGTTAGAGGGAAGCCAAAGATTAATATTTTTACCTTCAGAACTCTGCAGCGGGTAAAATGACCTGATGGGAGACAAGGCCAGTGTTTGGATCACTCTTGTAGGCAAACTAGAGAATAGCAATCTTGAGTCCTGATGTCTGAGGCAATGGAGAGAATTGATCATTTAATAATAATAATGATAATCCTAGCATTTGATATAGCGCCTCATCACGTCTTCGAGGCATCTCAAAGCGCTTCACAGAATACATTGTGAAGTCAATTGACTGTATATTTTGTGGGTGAAATTCTTAAAATTCTTAAGCTGGTAGGTTTTTTTTAAGAGCTGCGGAAAACCAGCTCCCAAATTAGGGCTGAATGTAAGAATTTTCCACACTTCTGTGCAACCTTAGATTTAAGAGGCGATGATGTTACAGACTCGGACTAGGTAGAATTTTGGTCCTCACACCTGAAGTGATTGATTTAGAGAAGTGAAGCTGGATCAAACCAATAGTGAGGGACAAAAGAGACAGAACGATGAGAGACATCCCAAAAGACTTGGGGAATGAGCAACACAAACCCAATGATGTCAATGTGTCCCGAATGAAACTGCTGAATAATAAATTACAAAATGAGGCAACTAATTTCATCATGTATTAATCATAGTCGGGAACTCATCAGTCATCAAATTCATTCAGTAAAATTATTCGTTAGGTTCACACAGCACTTATTTAATTCTTAAAACCGTTTTTAATCAATAAATCTTTCAGGGTTATAAATAGTTGCTAATTTTAGTCAGTAAAAAATTCTGGTCAGCAAATAAATGGTTGTATCCATTTACAGCCACGTGAGTCAATACTTACTGAAGGAAAGTCTGATTCTTGAGATCCCAGAATTTGGTTCAGTGCATCAAGTACATCACCTAATAATAATCCTTGCATTTGATATAGCGCCTTATCACGTCGCTGAGACATCTCAAAGCGCTTTACGTACTTCCACACAAACACACTGAGTAGGTCACATGTGGAGAAGCTGGTTTCATAATGCCATCTTTCTTAAAATCTTTTTTTTCAATAATTACCCAGCTCCCATTTCATCCGTACTCGGTTGCCTTCTCAAGGTGTGTTTTTGTACCATTGTCAATGTGGCGCACTCATAAAAGTTAGTCAAGCGTTTTTAGAGCTTCTTTATCACTTGTGGGGCTAAGTTTCTAAACACCTCCGTGGCACACACGTGTCAAGGGTTACACTGCTCTGGTGGGATGAACCATCGCAACAAGTTTACCGCTGTCTGAGTACAACAGATATAAGATGGTTTGGCCTCAAAGAAACATCAATTTATGGATTAAGTTTATATTAAAAAAAAGGTCATCCACTCCCACCCCGTTGGATCTTCTTTCCACTCCTTGTAAGATGAGCTTCACAACTGTTAGCGCCAAGTGTAAGAGCCTGAAGGGTACACTTGCCTAACACAGGCAAAATGTACGGAATTCATAGAGTAAAGTTCAGCTGGGCTGTCAATAAGCAATTAATAAAGTGTTAAAAGGGGTTTTGCCGCATATTATTTTATGCCCAAAAAAAGCCCTGCAGAATTTTTTCTGTTATCAAAAAAACAAACGTGTCGTTTGCCTCTTAAAACTTCCACCATTTCCACTTCCACCTCTGCTTCCCCGAGGAATTTGGGGCATAGAGAGGCTTAACGAAGCTGTGAAAAATGGACAGTTAGAGCAAGTGGGTCAAAATCAGCCAACGGCCTGAGCTCCTGAGGTAAAGATTGTGTAATCAGTGCTGGGGATGAATTTAGAAGTACCATTCCATTTGCTAACAGTGTAACAGAAACTTGTCCCTGCCCATTCATTTAAAAATAAGCCCAAACCGCAGGCAATTTAAACGGAGCCAAGCCAAGCTACAAAACTACTTTTTTTTAAAAAAAGTCCCTTAGGGTTTAAGACAAACATGTTTATTTTGAGTATTCGCAAAGTCATAAATCAAGATTGTTTTTTTTCTTTCAGAAGACGAGCTGTAGAAACCCGTTTAAGCTCTGTAACATTTTGAATTAACCGCGCAGCAACAAGTAACGTTTGGATTTTTTTTGCAAACGAAAAGAGTCACGGAAGAACTACTTGTTTTTTTAAATAAAGTAATCTTCCTATGGTTTAAACGCTCACTTTTCACTGCACCGTGGGTGGTTACTTTGTATTTCTCCAATCCTGACAAGGTGCTAATTTAGTGAAACATGTTGCATCCACCTCTATCATTCACGGCTGAACAAGAACAATCACCGTGACACTCGGAATTGGAATCGAAGCCAAGTGCTGGGAAACCATAAAGGATAAAGGAGGAGGGCATGGTGTCTGTAACACCTGCTAGCCACGTCTGACAGTACCTCTGCCCTGCTTTCCCCAGTATCGCATGATAATAAGATAATACTCCTTGCATTTGATCACATCGGGAGAACGTCTCAAAGCGCTTCACGGGATATATTGTAAAATGTAGTGACTATAATTTGTAGGCGAATGCTGTAGCCAATTTGCACAAAGCTATGTCCCTCAACTCAGCCTGGTGTCAGCCTGGTTCAGTTGGTTGCACTCTGGGTCAGATGGATGTGGATTCAAGACCAATGTCGAGAGGTGATATACAGTAAACTCATGATAACTCATCGCTCCAAAGGAAAGGGGCACAGTGACAAGTTATCCAGAGTTAGGCGTATGTATACATACATAAATTAATGAGGCCAGGATATTGACAGCACAATGACTTAAGTGGTAGTAACAAATTAAGTCAGGGTCGAGTTATCAGGAGTTTACTGTATAATCCAGGCTGACATTCCAGTGTAGTGCTGGGGGGGGTCACTGTGTTGTCAGCGGTGTTGTCCTTTGAATGGGACAAGGTGTATTCTGCCTGTTCAGGTTGATGTTAGCGATCCCTTGGTACTTTTCCAAAAAAAAGATTTTCTCCCCAGTGCTTTGACACACAATCCCTACAGATAAAATTGACCGTTGTCAATGGGAACTTTTGTGGAGCGCTTTGAGATGTTTTCGCTATAAACACCATCCCAAATGCCAGGCTGATTTAATCCTACGAGTCAAAAAACCATGTGCTCACTCTTTATTTATTTTAAAGCAGTTAACGTGCCATTGGCCTCAGGTTTAAGGGTGTTGTAAGAATATACAATACTTTGCACCAAAATGGCTGTTGAGTCCACAACAACACTTAAAAGGGAATTGGGAAAATAACATTAAAGATTATGGGGGAAGAGCAGAGCAATTGGGATTAGAGTTTGCATAAATGGGAAGTGGCAGCACAGACATGAAGGGTCTCCTGCTGTGCTCTCAACTCTCTCTCTGATTCTTCGAATGCCTGGATATGTTGTGTACAAGGAGGCACGGTAGTTATTTCTTTTTAGACACAAGTGATGCAAATATAGCGTCGTATTCTTTGGAGGAAGCTGATGAATTGGAACTGAAGGAAAAGCCATTACGCTCCTCGTAGCAGCTGCTACTATTACATTTCAAAGTGATATTGTTAAATTCTGAAATGTACAACCTGTTCATTTGGTGTCCATTGGTTTCCAAATGTTTAATCTCCATGCACTGACCTCCTGTGTGACCCATTGAGTATTGGGAATAGTGACACCATTTGCATGTAGCTTCCTCTCCCTCCCCACACACAACACACACACACACCCTGATGGAACTGTTACTTTAATGCTGGAAACAGTCAGGGCTGAAAGCCATAAATACGCAAACTACCACAGGCGGCAATGAGAATAGCTGTCCCAAGACTGAAATAGATCCTGCCACATAAATTGCATCCCGAGTCCTTTAATAAAAAAGATAAAACACTGGGGAAAAAAAAGGATGAGACCAATTCAACAGACAATTAGTGTCCAAAGCAATTGCCAGGAGGCCTTTGTGTAGTGTGTTGACACAGAATGGAAACCGTTAATCTTCCTTCGTGTTACACCTTTGTTTTTATTCTGTAAAACACGGCATTTATGGATTTATAGAATCAGTATCAATGGATTGGAAATGGCATGATATTGTGTGGACGTCAGCTATCTAAAACGTGCTAGGCTCACGGTTTAGCTGTTTATTCAACATGTGTCAATGAAAGATGGATGATAGTTGAGACACCCACTTAAAAGATGAGATTACAACTATCAGCGAATGCTAATATATGAGCAACACTGAGACTTGCGTTTAATGCTCTACATTTTATTGCCAGCGTTTGCCGTTTGTTAAAATGATGAGATGCTGCAAAATAGATTCTTTTTATATGAACAAAAGTTTCATTTTGTAGACAATCTTTTTTTTGGCTACGACTCAACATACTTACTGATGAAATTACAAGGTAATTTAAGTGACTGTATTGTACTCTGTATTTTCTCAGTCCCGTTATTTTCTCCCATTTTAATCTGTAAATTAAGATTCGGTTCCATAGATGTGCAGTGGGTATCGATAACAAAAATAATCCATGCATTTGAAATAGCGCCTTTCATGGCACAAAGACACTTCAAAGCGCTTCACAAGGCTTATTAAAGTATCCAACTGTGGATTTTGTAGGCTAACGGAGCAGCCAATTTGTACACAGCAAATGAAACAGAAATGACAAATGACGCGACACCACAAAGCACAATGAATACATTCAGGAGAGGGAGAAGGGGAGAAAATTGGAATGGAGAAATTGACAGAAAAGAAAAGAAAAAGTCAGCAATGGTTGGTGTGCTGGCTTTTTGTGTAAATGGGGTCAATGGTTGACTGGTAGAAAGATATGATCGAGACTGGACAGGAGCTGGAACTATCACCCAATAAAAGTTAGAAGACGAAGGAGAGGGGTACAAAATATAATTGGACTGTCAGTACTGCAGGTTCAATGATGATATAAGTATGAGCCCCAGGAATTTGCTTGCCCACTGATTTTTTTTTAGCAAACTTGCAAACTGTTCAGAATTGCTCGAAGATTTGAGAGAGGCGTCCAAAGTTATTATCACACTGAGCGGAGATGAATGCTGCATTCCACAACTCCTGGGTGGAAACGTTGAATTAGGATACTAAAAATTAAATTATGGAAAGCAAATTAAAATAAATTGATTTATTAGTCGCTCCAGAGGATCGCTTTTCTTTGGTGGGAAGAAGGGAGGAAGGGCGAGAAATGGAGGAGGGAGGGGAAATCCAACAACAAATATAAAGCCCTGATCATCACTTTTTTTAAAAAAAATCTTTTGCACTTCAGCAGAAAGAAATGCTTTGTTGCCATTTGCTTAAGATGACCAGAGTAGAATGAAACTCCAGTGACATATTGCTCACATTATTATTCTCTGTGCTCTCCGAATAAATTGTCAAATTGTAACCTGCTCGCTCTCAGTTTTTTTCCCCCCCCTTTTTTGCTTATAAAATACTCCAGATACAGAAGCACTGTGAAATACAGAAAAATAGACTGATGACAAAATGGACCGTGTAGCAAAATAGAAGAGTCAGTGGAATATGATAAGGGTGTTCCGCAGAGGCTAATTTAAGGCAACTTAGGATATGATGAAGGAGCCCTATTCTGTTTCTGATCTATGAGATATCTGACTCAGGAATCCTTAATCTTGATATTTGTTCAGAGAGAAAATATTCCACTTCTTTGGTAGCTCAAGGAGTACAAACACAGCCAGCACAAATGACACTAAAATACTGAGAGTCAGAAAAGAGAGGGCACCGTTTTCTGAAGGTGTTTGGAGATTAAACAACATTGCATTCTTTGAAGTCAATATAGTCTTTGAAATGCTCTTTCACGCTTTTTTCCCTTTAACATGTTCCCCGGAATATTCTTTCAATGCAAACATTCCCATTATAACCCAAGCATTTCTTTTTCTTTGACTGTCACTGTTCAGCTGATCTTTGAAGGAATTCGGGGGCCTGGTATAGAGGGAGACATCGCAATCGATGATGTAACCGTCACCGAAAGCGAGTGCACGAAAGTAAACCAGCCTGTCAACAGTAAGTCAAATCTACCCGTGCAATATTTCCTGACCAAAGAGGCAGCTGTTACTGATACAGCAGTAAAGTTTGCAGTATTTCATAATGTATTTCATGTGTAAATTAATGCATTTACACTACCATTTTCTGTCCATCTGTTTCTTGTCCAACTCCTGGTCACAACTCCTAATCATATAAAAACTGAAACGCTTTTGATGAGCACAGACTTACCTAGACTCGTGCGGATGTTCTGGGCGCCGCTTCTTGATGTCCCCGGGGGCCACTTCGGGCCCTAGGGCCACAGGTTGGCCACCACTGGCCTGAGGTACAAGCTCAACCCTCCTGACAAGGGTTTGAACCCATAGCATTCTGACCGAAAGGAGAGAGGGCTTTTAGCTGAGCCAAGCTAACACCAATGTGTCCTGTGAGTTTTGGGGGGGGAGACAGTGCTGGCTCCACATGTTATTTGCTTGACTGTTACAATTCATTTTACTTATGTGAATGTAATAGCAATGATAATAGGACATCTGACCCCAAAAAAAGGGAGAAAAACATCTTTGCCCTCTTCAGTATCATTTGGCACTGCCCCCGAATTTACTTGCCTTTACCTTGATCGACAGGCAAGCTTTGCGACTTCGCTTTGTATATACATAGAAATTAATACGGGGCCTATTGTCCTTAAATGTCGAGTGTGTCTCTTTTACAGTGCATTGAGATGGAGTTTTGTAGGCAGTTATTTTAGATAATAGCTCCAGCCTGCAAGGGTAATGCAAACCAGGTACAGATAACAAGAGGAAAGCTTTCCTTCACTCAGGTCTATTTGGTCTATTAGCCCGCGCTCTTGTGCAAATAATAACACACACTTTGCACTTGTGTGTCCTGCTTTGCCCACTTTTATATATTTACAAATACATTTATTCGGACTGACTTCTCATTTGTGGGGCCCCAACAAAAGCACACATATGGACAGGATCAAGCTCATTACTTATTTCCCCTTTTTCCTCTTACACTTTCGAATAGCCTGCTGAAAGCTCATTAACCCTGCACAGACCTGAAGGTAGAAGGTAGAGGACCTCGTAAAACAGTCACATTGAAATTCTAGTGGTGAGAGGGCTCAGCATCGGACATGAAGGAGTAAAGCCAGTGACAGTCTCTGAATTTTGTACAGTTTCAGCTTCTTAATTGAAATAGCAGTAATTATAATTGGATTTGCCTCTCGTTTTCGAATTCTAATTGTCCCGTTGTGTTTTTTCTGTTCTTCGAAACCAGATTTAAAAACTGGCAGCGAAGCCTCTGCATTGATACATATATGGCTGTTGCCAGTCACCCTTCTCATCGCCATGTTAAGCCATGGAAGGTGACCTTATTTCCGACAGAGGCTGAGAAAAGATTCATCAGGCGTCGCACAAAGAATGAGTCTTTATACGTGGACCTTCGACAATAATTACCAAAGATCCATCAGCTGGCTGGAGTATCAAACCGTATGCGTCCTGATGAAAGGCATCTCGGGAGAGAGAGAGGAAAGATGCCAGATTCAAACACAAACCAACAACAACGAAAATGTATATGTGTAAAGTGGTCTACCCTAGACACAGAAGAGTTTTTCTTTTCTGTTCCTTTCCGAGGGATTTTAAAAAAAATACAACTGCACCCAGATGGACTCTGTGAAAGAGCTTTAGAAATCTTGTCAAAGCACAAAGATCTGGCTGGTTTTATTACAGTTGAATGGAGATGCTTGTAACCAGAAGACATAAATTGTTGTGGCCAACTAAAGAATTGCAAACTGAAAACAGGGTAAAAGGAGTGCTGACACTTACTCCCCTTGAGAAATATTCAGCAAAGCATTAGATAATTGTAGGTCCTTTCCTTTGGCTGTCTACTCTGGTGTGAATACCTGATCTCACGACTGTCTGTAGCAAGTGTTTTGTTCCTTTCCTCCCAACCCAACCCACCCCAACCCAACCCAACCCTCCCCCCTTCACTGTTAACTTTGCTGTGCTTTATTATATGTTTGGTCTTTCTGCATGCGATGCTGCCCGCTGTATGTGAACTGGGCTCAAATAGTATGTGGGCTATATAGGAGTTTGCTTGCGGCCACAATAACACGACAAGTCATCTGTCCGAAGTGAGGAAACCAAACCACCTTCTGTTTGTGACATGCCATAAAACCAAGTGCCTTCAATTTGAAAAAAAATTATTAAAAAAAAATAATGCCTGAATCATTGAAATAGAAAACACTTTGCACTGCTAAACAATGGAGTGTGTAGAACCTTTTGTATATACATTACAGCCAATTCCTACAGGCAAATCAGGCAGCCACTGCATTGTTCCTCCAGGCAGAAAGACTCGCGTTGCAATCGAAGTCCTTGGACAAAAGGCATTCATTAAAGCCATCAAGGTGGTCGCAGCCCGCCAGCACGGGGTCCTGTGTGGGGGTGGGGGAAGAAACAGCTTCCACGAGGCTTCAAGAGGGAGCGTCACTTTGTATAGTTATCGAGTGCAAATGGAATGACCAGAGCAAAATGGGTCTTCAGAGGTGTGCGGAGCACAGAAGGCATCAAACAGATGATGATTGACTGCACTTATTTACAAGTCATCTCTGTCCAGATCAAAAGTGGACGGGCTGTGCAGAAAGCACCCCAAGCAACAATCCGAACTGTACTCAACAAGCCCTGGGATTTTCAGGCTTGCAAAAAAAAACCACAGGAGTTTTCTTCTTTGGGATAAAAGACTTGACCGAAGACTGCAAGAGAGGGCTTACCCCCGCCTTCTGCTGAGTTATTCAAATCTGTGCGGATTGTTAAATCTTATTTTATTACTTTAGCAGGCCTAGAAAGAGCAATGTTACCTTTAGTGGTCGAGAAGAAGACTCACAAGGTCTACCCTTTGAGCCACCTGAAATCACATCACTTGACTTTAGTCGAATGGTCTCAGAACTGTTCTGTACAATTCCCTTCCTTCTCTACCGCTGTTTTATTTTTTAAATTCTGTGATTTCTTTTTTGTTTAAATTATTTGATCTTTTAAATTAAAGGATAACTTTTTTTCCGTCTAAGATGGCATAATTGTACACTCTGAAATTCCCGAGTCTTGACAAAAACACACAAAGATAAACCCACCAATATGCAAGGATTTGGATTGGAATCCTATTTAACAAATAATAGTTACGTAGGTTCAAAAAGAAATTTGTGTGAATACTGAATATTGATATTAAAAAAAGCACAAGATGTATGATTAAATAAAATGATGAACATTTTATTTTAAATTCCATCGAAATTTTGTCCAAATTCAATACAGCTGCAGAGATGATTTTACGTCTTTATGTCCAATAAACCCCTTTTCAGGTATGACGTGACTTATTGCATGTGTGGCTGCTGGTATAGGAGAATTTAATTAAAACAGACAGACTTAATGAGATTGTGCTATTCCCCAAGGCTTGAAAATTCATATTTGATTTGCTGAGTTCGTTGCTAATCCCTGCAGCCATCTGCCCCTGCTATGTTGCATTTGATGTCAATTTTTCTGAATTATCTCTCAACTATTTCTGTATTCTTTGATGACATTTCTTTACCCTTTTCCCTTATATCTAACGTGGAATGGTATATCTCTTACAGCCTTGAGTACGGTTGTTCACATGGCCCCAGTTCATCATTCCCATTTGCTGTTTTGACAAAGGGTACTGTTTAAATTGTTGAACCTGTCTCTCTGTTTGTCTGTCTGTCTGTCTGTCTATCTGCCTGAAACAGTAATGATGTTCTTTTTATTGGACAATGCAATAATCTCTGCTACCCTCCTGCATCAAATCCCAACACTTAGTTCCAGGAAAAGTAAACTTTCTGTTCTCGTTCCCTCACCGAATTGGCCCACATCAAAATTGTGTCCCCCTTCTGTCTCCCCCAACACACACGCGCACACTTCAGTTAATTTGGGGTTTCTTTTTGTATCAGGGGCTCCCCAGACACTGGCCACAGAAAAGAAAAATCACAAATTTAAAACAGAAGTGGCTGATGACAAAAATCATAGCTAATACAAATAAAAAGTGAGTTATTTTTTTTTGTACAGTGTTTTTTTTCCAATAGGTGTGGACCACTGCAAATGGCCACATTCAAGTTGCAGTTATCACTTTTCTCAGGCCATTTATACACCTATATTAAAAATTGTGAAAATCTATATGTGTATCGTCTCTGTTTATAATAATTAATAATTATCCTTACGTTTGGTAAAGCGCTGTCCATGTGAGGAGGATGTGCTTCACTGGTTATACTGTAAAGTGGAATGACGGTGCGCACAGCAATGTCCCGCAAACAGTCATGAGCTGAATAACCAATTTTATTGGGGCTTGTTGGCCAAAACGCTGGTTGAAATTCCTTTCTCTTTTCAAATAGTACCGTGGGATACTTAACAGCCACCTAAAGAGGTGGGCAGGACTTCAGTTGAACCTCTCAGCCCAAGGGCAGCAACTCCATTAATGTAGCGTCCCCAACCACTGCATTGGAGTGTCAGCTCAGCTTCAACCCACAACCTTTTGTCTCAGGCAAGACTGCTGCCAACTTAGCCAGGCTGACACACAATTTTCGATTCTTACAGTTGTTTTTTCCCCCAAAACCACTAAAGTGGTTGTAATTTGCATGTTAAACACCTCCTCCTTGAAAAATTGAGGAAAATTGCACAAATATGCACTCTCATACACACGCACACACACACGGGGAGATTCCACATGGGTCTAGATTTCTAGAGTATGCAATATTTGGCAAATTCTTGATTTAGAAGCTGGATTTCTGCAAGTTCTTTTAAGAAGAATTAATAATGTATTTGTGGATTTGCCAAATGTTTAGGACTTTAAAATGCAAAGAAAATGGAGTGAATCTAGACATAGGTGGCATCTCTCCCCCTGCACAGTGTTATTTAGAATGGATGGATGAAAGTTTCAAGTATGTTTCACTTGAAAGGAAGAACTGCAAGTTTTCAGGGACATTCTTGTCCGGGGGCTGGGTGGATGGAAAGCAATTCCGTGAGCTTTCTGTCTCCTGAGGCTGTCATGCGCCTCTAATAAGAAGTCGCTCTGCCTGCTCTTCCTAACCTTTGCAAAGTGGTTTGAGCAGCACCAGTGATTACTTCAAACCCTGTTAGGATAAAGTCCGATGTGCAGATCCAGAGGCAAAAATATATAATTGTGCCCCATCGCTTAAGGCGAGAATGCAAACTGCAGAAACGTTTCTGGTAATAATGACAGCGCCCATTTTAACCTCTTGTAGATTGCACTTTTAGCAAATAGTATAGGACCCATCTGGATCTATTTTTAAGGGTGAGTTGTTTTACCACTTCAAGAAAATGAGGGAAAGCGTGGAACAATGTTATTAATGTTCAGCCATCAATCCAGCTCCGTCCACACACATGTAGAATCTACCCCATTGTGGGGCTCTATCTGTTGGGAAAAGTATTGTTGCAATACCTGATAATCCTTTGCATTTGATATAGCACCTGTCACATTGGGAGGAAGTCTCAAAATCTTCACAGGGTTTGCTCCAAAGTGTCTTGATTGTGTATTTTCTAAGCAAATGAGGCAGGCAATTTTGCCAACAGTAATGTCCCACAAAATAGTCAAATGGTGAATAACTTTTTTTTTATCTGGGGGATTGTTTCATCCAAAGTACGGCACCTCCCACAATAAGGCGCAGCTCTAGTACTGTACTGGAGTATCACCCTAGACTACGTGCATTCAAAGACCCAACATTTTTCAGAAGTGAGAGCGCCGCCAATTCATAGATTCATAGATTCATAGAATGTTACGGCACAGAAGGAGGCCATTCGGCCCATCGAGTCTGTGCGGCTCTTTGACAGAGCAAGTCACTTTCACTAACCCCAATCAACAGCTTCCTCCCCATAACTCTGGAAACCCATCTTCCCCAGATACCTATCCAGTTCTCTCTTAAAAGCTGTTATTGAATCGGACTTCACTACCCTTTCAGGCAGATCATTCCAAATTTGAACAACTCATTGAGTTAAAAAATTTCTTCTAACCTCCCCTCTGCTTCTTTTGGTAGATATCTTAAGACTATGACCACGGGTCACAGACACAACTAGCAGCAGAAACAGCTTTTCCCTATCTCGCCTGTCAAAACCTTTCATGATCTTGAAGACCTCTATCAGGTCCCCGTGTAACCTTCTCTGCTCTAATGGGAAAAGTCCTAACTTCTCCAGCCTGTCCTCATAGCTAAGGTTCCCCATTCCTGGTATCATTCTCATGATAATTCAGTCAGTCTGTCACCAATGATACCCTTAGAGGCAAACAACAACCGTGTAAAAACCTTAGAATATTAATCTTATCTCCACTCTTCAATCCTGGTCTCTCTTGCTTCACTGTCTACATTCTTCTTCCCCTGGTCCGTAAAACTGCGTGAGTAGCCATGCTCTAGTTTACCAGTGTTTAATACTACAGTATGGTGTTACTCATAGAAGGCTGTTGACTGCTGTAACTGTAATTTGTGTGTCAGCATTGGTCTGAAACTATGTACAGACAATAGCTAGTTATCTCATGGCATCAAGTCGAAAGCAAAGCTCACTGCTATGTCAGAGATTGACTCCAATGTTATTAATGCAGATGCTTTAATTATAATGGAAGAGAGATGGCACTGTCACTTTATGCACAGGACAATGAGTTCAATTCCTCTATTGTTATCTTGAATGGCTATAAAATAACATGATTTTACTAATACAGTACTTATGACAAAGCATATTGTGTGATCAATGACTAACATTTGCAGTAAGGATTATTGACTACTGTGTTTTACCTTGTAAGGTGATGATATTTTTGAACAGATGTGATCATGTGGCCATCAAAGGTGTGAGTCACATCAAAGGTGTGAGTCACTTCACTAAGTCCATTTGTGAATGCTCATGTTAAAAGCACTCAGCAATTGTAGATAAGCATGCAACTCAGTTGAAAAGCGCTGTATCAAATGCAAGGATTAT